TTTTTGATGTGCATACAAAATGGGCAGCAAAGTCCACAGATTTAGCTCTCCAGAGCCATTGTCTACAAGGCTGACCACAAAAAAAAGCAAGGAACGTAACACTCCAAGCTGTGGCTGCAAGTTTGAATGCAGAGGATAAGACCTTGTCCATACTTGTCCATACTTGGCAGAGTCTTGGTCTCTCCCTGCATGTGAGGAAGAGCAGGAGAGCCAAGGGTGATAGAGATGTCCCAGCATATGGTAGAAGACCAGGCTCCTCTACTCCACCATTTGCTAGACAAAAAGCCCACTGACAAAACTGTGCCCCTGACACTTCTTTTAATGGAGTGATACAGAGTTCCCATCACACTCCAGTCCAGGAAATTATGTTTCTCTGCCCCTGGGTGAGGTGAGCCTGGTCAACAGCCACTCCTGGCTCTCTAAGAACGTACTGACCCTGCTGCTGGACACAGCTGGGCTGCTGCAGGTTCATCAATCCACCCCCAGCACAGCACTGGGGAGCCACATAAAGATATCAGTTTAACGTGGCTTATCTTCTCAAAGTGACACCAACCATGCTGAAATCAGCAAGTCAATGCAGGGAAAATGTATCTGGAGATAATTAGTAACAATCACAGGCTGCTTGGAAACTGCTGACAACAGCGGCAATCTGCTGGGCCTATGTCATTGGTTTGTAAAGGGAGAGGGCCCTTTCAGGCTGTGGCAGCATGCACTGACAGAAGGGGTTTTTTAAACTTACTATTGAACGTGGCATAAAAACAATGCAAAGAAAGCAAATGGCTCTTTAATCAGAGATTTTGCTGGTGATCCACAGCACAACAGATGTGGTGGATGAAGTACTGAGAGCTGTGACTACATTTCTCCTTAGCAGCAAGTACTAGCATGAGTGTCAATGTTTAAGCAATCCTTTAATTTTCAAGATCTATCCCATATGTTTGGATATGCCAGCTGGCTAAGAGAGAGAAATATTACATTTTCTACAAACTGCACAGAGGATCTTTGCCATCCTAAATCTAAACATTGCTTTGCCACCCACACCACAACCTGGTAACAAGAGCAATGAAAAACTGTAACCATAGTTCTGTTCTCAGACATATTTCCAATAAATTATTTTATAAGCTTACAGACTGACACCGTAAGAGACCAAGTTCTCTTCACATATGGCAGCCCAGACTACTCCAGAACTTCTCATAAAAAAGATTAAGCTTGAACAGCAGATACAGCAATAGAAAGACACAAGTGTTCCTGGTTTGAACTCGTGGTTTTCATATTTCAAGTCATTTACTCACTTTTCAGCCTTACCAATAGCCCATTCTGTGTTGAAACATCATGCAATTGTGTTCACAGCTCTGCTCCACACACACACCCAGAAGAGTTCTGGGTAGAAGAGATGTTTCTCACCAGTGCTGCTCTAGATACCATAACTCATTTGACAGTGATTTAAGCAGCTCTTGGACTCATTACACTGAAGCTGTTACAAAATTGTTTATAATCTGCAATGTCAACACAGAAGCAAGATAGACCTCAAGGCAGTAACACCACCAAACACAGACTTAGGACATTTGCTGGACTTTTATCCAATTAACCCTCACTTTTACAATGGAAAACACACTACCTAGCATGCTAAAATATGTTGCCCTCAAGGCTTTCAGCTTCATTCTCTGAGTTTATTTACATACATCACAGGACAGCCTGTATGAAACAAGGAAGAGTGTAAACACTCAAAAAAAAAAAAAAAAAAAAAAAAAAAAAAAAAAAAAAAAAGGTGAATAAATTAAAAGCAATGGAACTTCCTGAATCTCAAGAGAAGACCAGAGGTAAGGCTGGCCATTCCTCCTCCAGTGAGAAGCAGTTCACATTGAAAATGCCATCACAGATTTGTGAGGCTTAGGCTCTTCTGAACTGAGGGGGGACAAGGACCAGGAGGTGGTTTGATTCTGGCAGGATTTCTCTCATGAATAAGGGCCTTACCACTGAAGTGGGGCTGATACAAAGCTGACCTTTCTCCAGCGATTGTTACCTTATTGATAGCCTACCATCCATCCCCTGTCCATCCTACGCACAGAACACTAAACCAATAACTGGATTTTACCACAGCTTTGGTCAGGCTACAGACCACAAAAAAACTCTGAGAAGGCAGAATAGGTGGTGTGCTTGCAGACATTTGTTGCACCTTGCACTCATAACCATTGCTGTGCACCATTTCCCAGCTCCTGATTTTCAGAGATACCTACCACAGATGAAGATCCCATGGCAATATGTACCTTATGCTTACAAATGAAATAGGATCAATAAATATGTCTCCTTTTCCAAATTCCCTATCCCACCAAGGAAACAGGCTGGGTAAAGAGTTGTGACTGAAAAGATATGTTATATGAGGGGAGAAAATAGAGGAATCTGTCCAGAACTACAGTGAGAAATACACCACCAAGTGTACTGTAATGGACATGCCTTGCACATTACAAAGTATAGCTTGCTACTGAATCCTTCCTGCTCCTGACAACCTGCACAGCCCTTTCAGCTCCTCAGGAAGCCTCAGAGTAGGGACCATGACTCAGGCATACAATATGGGCCCAGATCATGATGGAGATTTCTGGGTGCTTCCTGTGCATGACCAGCACAAAACTATTCCTATGGCTATTAGAAAGAGTATATGAAAGTATAGCAGGTAGACCATTTTCTCCAAAAACATATCAAAAAGGCATAGGTTTTAGAAGACTCTTGATATGCTTATGTAAATCTACATTGTATGAATGCTGTTGACAGAAAACTCTACAGCACTTTCAAATTAAAGATATAAATACCCAGTGTCTTGAAAAATGCATTCTGTTGTAGCTGTCACTCTGACATATTTAAGACTAATGGCAGGCTTTTTTCAAGAACCTGCTGTTCATAAAGCCTGCTCCATGTTTTTGAGGAGAACTAGCAAATTTAACACTTGGAACCTCTGCTCAAGTGTAGGTAACTTGACAGGGAGAACCTCTGTGAAATCCATATTGAATTCCACAGCGTCACCTCTGTAATAGGTTTTACTCTAACAAATGTGATCAGTCAGCTCACAACACTCTAAGGAAGTAGCAATGTGAGACATGTAAGAAGTGCTTAAATGAGGGCAAAGAAAGAAGTACCAGCCAAAACAGCTCTTAGCTGAACCTCATTTTGTCCAGGTGTAAATCCTGGATGAGCAGTCCCTTAGAAGATGACAGAGGCTGTATTAGGTCACCCAAAGCCTTCTTTTCTCCAGCCTGAAAAATGCCGACTCTCTCAGCCCTTCCTCACAGCAGAGGTGTTCCAGCCTCCTGATCAAAGAGGATGCCTCCTCTGGCCTGGCTCCAGCAGCTCCACATCCTCCCTGTGCTGTTCCCCAGGGCTGGCAGCTCTGCAGGTGGGGTCTCACATGAGCAGGGAGAGGGGCAGGATGCCCCCTGCCCTGCTGCCCACGCTGGGGGTCAGGCCAGCACAGGGGGGTTTCTGGGTCCCAGCACACACAGCCAGGGAAGGGCCAGGTCTCACCCACCAGCACCCCAAGTCCTTCTCCCAGGGCTGCTCTCAGTCTGTTTGTCCTCTGCCTGGATCAATCCTGGGAGTAGCCCCAACCCAGGTGCAGCATCAGCATCTGGCCTCTTTAAACTTCATGAGATTCCCATGGGACACTTCTAGACCTTTTCCAAGTCCCTCTTGGATGGCCCCATCTCTCAGAGGTGTTAGGGCACTCTCAGCCTGGGTCACCTGCAAATCTGCTGAGGAATCTGCTGATTCCTCTGTCTGTGTCACTGATGAAGATATTAGATAACATTGATTCCAGCACAGACCCCTGATGGACATAGATATATCTGTATCAATGCTCTATCTCCTCACAGCTTACAAGCCACACACCTCCAGAAGTCCCTCTTTCTGTCCATCCATCCATGCCTAGACACCCTTCTTATCTATGAGTCCAACACTCAAACCACCCATTCAGAACCAGACAGATATTGAAAGAAGTCTCTCCTATCCCACTTCAAAGTATTTCTTTCACTCTCCAATCTCTTCTGAATCCTCCTAAACTTTGTCAAGAAAAGCTGAAGGCTGATGCTGTACTGGGTTAAAACAATTTTGTAACAACACTTGTTTTCAAAACTTCTCTGCTAGATGAGATTTTAAGGCATTAAAGACATAGTAATACTTTACAAAAAACAGTATAATCTTCCACTGTAGCTACAAAATAAAGCATTACATCCAATCTTTCTCAAAACAGAGAAAATCCAATGAAATTTGCACTAATTAGACATAGCAGTAACACACAGAGCTAACATTCCTATGAAACACAGAGCGTTAAATTTTAAAAGCCCTCCTTTTTTCTGACTTGCACAACAAATTTGGGATACAATTTAATAATTAGCTTACCATTTGGCCAATTTCCTTGCAAGCAATGGGGTCAGTCCCAAATAAATAGGTGACCAAAGCATTTATCAGACTCTAGCTGTTCCTTAACTCTTGCTCTACACCTGCTGAATAAATGCAGATGATTTGACATTCCTTGAAGAAAAAGCATTTGGTTTTGGTTTAAATGCTCAACTTTAGTGCATGGGTACAATTCAGAAATGGTATAAAATGAGCTTCCAAAATTCAGGCTAGTTTGAACTGTCATAAAAACTCCATCCAGTCAAACACACCAGGTGCATTTATGAAAAAATAGCTCCAAAGCCCAAAAGCAGAGGCAAGCATTCTGCTTTTCAGTGATGCGGTGGTATTCAAAATATACTTTTGGGGTGGAGGGGCACATCCTTTCCTGAACAAGAGGGATGGAGGCTCCATCTGTCAGCTACAAACATACACAAACGATTTACACAAGCCATTCAGCTCTCTTTCAACAAGAGCTCCTATGAAATCACATTCCAAAAGAGACTTTCTGAGCAAATTACTCCACATATGACACAATTTTTCCATAAAGGACCTCATCATGCAATATGAAGGTACAGACAATTCACACTACTTACCAGTGTTTGAAAATTATTTACCTGTGACAATAGGATAGGACTGAGGCCCAGGAACACTTGCTCCCAAATCTGCAGAAGTAGGGCTGGTTATATTTGCCTTCATGTCATCCAACCCACCAGCTAGTGAGGCCATGGCTGAGTATTCAGTTGCCTGGAAAAAGAAACAAAAGACATTTTAGTGGAAATAAATTTACTAATCAAGAGTTTTTTTTTGCCTGTGCCAACAGAAAGTAGATGCAATACAGAACTCAAAAATCCATTGCTCAGCCAGTGTTAAAGGCAATGCCTATTTACACTGGCCTTTTCAACATTCAAACTGTTCAATAAGTGGATCTGTGCTTATCACCAGTGTTCTCAGAGAACACCAAATTAGGTTTTCTTTAAAAAACCAAAGCCAAACTCATTAATATGTAACAGGGCTCTCCTGAAAGAGGAAAATTTGTAGATTACCTGCCAAGTGCATGCTACTTTCTTGTTTGGAAAATGTTCACGCCTCTTAACTTCCACACTCTCCACATTTCAGTGTTGGCACTTGAGGGGACATGCACTAACGAGAAGGTGGAAACAGGTTTTCTGTTTCCCTTTTCTTGGGAATGTTGTATTTTTTCATCATTTCACAGGAAAGAAAAGGTATGTATATACAAAGAGTTTGCTTAATTGATGTATTTGTAGATAATTATTTCTAAATCCAAATTATTTAAAAATAAATCACCTGACTGTAGAAAGAACACTGTGCCATTTCCAAATAATTTCCTAATCTCATTACCTGAAAGAGGCTATGGTAAGCATAGAACAGATCTCAGAAATCAGAGTGTTTTTGTCCCATAACCCTGTTTATAGGACAGAATTCTGCAGCATTCTATAGCCAATGAGGCCAATCCATGTATCTAAAGGATGTATATGGCACAAAGCTTATCTCCATTTGCCCTTTTTCAATTATTTCTTATTGTTAGGATCATTCCCACAAATCTGGGAAGTTTTCTTTCAAAGTTCTCTGTTCCCTGCTATGTGCCCTTTTTAATCCTTTATTTGTGAGACAACAGTCATGCCCATATCCACTGGAGATTGACTTCAAATAAAGAACTACAATGGGAACAGGTAAACTGAAGAGCAGACACTGTGATGCCAATCTCTAATGAATTCCTGAAGATTAAGTCAATGCAGAAGCCGTGCAGAGATGAAGAAATGCAGATGAACCCAGGATCACATGGAGGTTTTTTGGAGCAACCAAAACAAAACTCAGAAAAACACAGAATCCCAGACTGGTTTGGATTGGAAGGTACCGTAAAGACCAACTCATTATACATGCCCCCTACCATGGGCAGGGACACTTTCCACTAGACCAGGTTGTTCAAGGCTGCATCCAGCTAGGCCTTGAACAGCTCCAGGTATGTGACATCAAAATAAGTGAACTTTTTTTTAAGGAAACAAAAGCTGATCTGAGTGAATACATCCTCCTCCTTCCTGCAAGTTTCTCTGAGAACTCAGCACATAATCTGGTGCTTGCCACTAACTCAGTACTTTAGTCAAGAATACATGCTGGTGTCTTTGTAGCTCAGGTCTCACTCAAACAGAAGGTAATTTACATGGATAATCCTGTATTAACAGTTCTGTGTAATAAGCATGTTTTTTCTGCAGACACCATTTGCACGAGGTAAAAGTACAGCCTGTCACCTTGAAGGATCACCCCTACAAACCTCTTGAAGATGAGTATGCAAAATACATTTTACCAGGGACTAGCTGCTGGCCACTCTTGTCCTGCACCCAGCCCATGCATCAGAGTCCTCTGACTTGTCTCCTAGGAACCTACATAACCTTTGCATTAAAGTTGTACTGTTCCTCAGTTCTTTCAGCTCATGCCTCCTCCAACACCCTCTGTGCCCTCACTTTTGCCTTGCCATCATTCACCTAGGCCTTTTTGTCTACCATCACTGCTTCAAAGACACCCACACCTCTGATCCCCACTTCTGCTCCTGGGAGAGGACAGCCCTGGGAGCCTCCCTCTTCTGCAGAGGATGCTGATAATGGTCCCAGCCTTCCTCCTTCCTAGAAGTGTAATCAAAGCTCCTCCTTCTCATTCAGCATGACACCACAATGCATTTCTCAGCCTTCCCACACCATTCCATGTTTTCCTGAGTCTCCAACCCCACCTCTCCCCTATACAAGGTACATGCATATATGGAGGCACTGCTAGATTTTTTCTTTCCCCAAAACCCTAATCTGGCAAAACATCAGAGAAACAATAGCCCTGCAGAGACATCCCAAGCAGCTGGTGATGCACAAGCATGGATGGACTGGCAGCACAGCAGAGGAAAAACCTGTTCTTGTGTGCTGCAGTTTGGAATTTCTGGTGTCTCTAGAAGAGCACAAACAAATCCCTGGGGAAGGATGCCTGTGTTCACCCATGTTGCTCTATGAAAGCCATAACCACACCATATGAAGACTAGAAAATCTCTTTGTATCCTCCCATGAGGGAGATCTACCCCTCCCAACAGGCAGAGAGTGAATGTGGTTTCCAATTACAAAGTGAGAGCTGCACACCTGTAGTTTGGAGGAAGCATCTAGCTGGAAGGGGACCCCTGCCATGGGCTGGGTCACATGAGAGGACTGAGGAAGGAGGTGCACATCCCAAACTACAAACCCAAGTGGAACCAGCCTAAGCCCTCAACTGCAATTCACAGACACAGGAATGCATAACTCCATAGTTTGCTTCTCTTCAGGAGTCCAAGGAACTGACCCTGGGAGAAACGGGACCAGAGTTAAGACTTTTAACTGTAATGACCTGGAAGCACCGTGCACATGAGGCATGAGCAGCCCTCTGAGCTTGGAGAAACTGACCATTTCTAGTGTCAAGCAAGCGGCAACCAGAGTGTAGCATAACCTGGCAAGGGTTACAACAGAGGTAGCCTGTGCTCTTCCATGTCACTGCACCACAGTGAGTGGCGCAATATACAGTGGCACAGTCCCAAACCATGGAACCACATCTGCAGGAGGGATTGGAAGCATTGCAGAGTGTGGATGGAGAGCCCATAGACAAGCAGCACTGTGGTAAGAATGAGCTGAAGATGTGCAAAATGGAGATCTGGGGTCCTTCCCTGCTTTTGGTCCCAATAACTTCCTGCAGATGGGAGCTGCGTGTCTTTTGCCATTGCCCAGCAACTTTTCCCAGAGTAATAATAGTGGGATTTTAAGGGATTTTCCAATCTTAAAGGATTTCCCAGCTACTTTTCTGTGCCCAGATCCCTTCTTGGAACTACCATCAGCTGAACACTAATAGCCACACGGAGCAAGCACTGACCACTGTTTCTAGCACTGAGGCTGAGCAAGTGCATGCTGAGGGGCAGCCCTTCTGATTGCTGACTCTCCTCCCATCATGCATTCTCAGTGGAGGAGTGACCCCCTCACATCACATCCACCTCTGCAGTTACAGTCTGCACCACAAAGCAGCAGGGTCAGGGCCAGCACTGGGCTGGCAAAGTGGCTAGCACTTGCCTGTGGGCAGAAAAGGAAACAGTGCTGCTAACAGCAAAGCGCTGCAGAGAGGTGATGGTCAGCAGAGGCATTTTCTGGCCCCCAAGGAGTGGGGCATCAGGAGTGCAGAGTAGAGGAGGCTTCACCCTAAAACCACACTATGGGTACTGTCTGCAGCTCTCCTCACTCCCATGGGGGGCCAGGAGACTCTAGAACCCCTGAAAAACCAAAAACCTCTCTTACACTGTGGGGTCACAGTGTTTGGTGTTGAACCTCTCATGAGGGGTACAGTGGTGTCCCCTCTTCCCATTTCCCCCAGGCAGACCTCTTCCTTTCAAGCACCCCATCCAGAGTGGAAAGGAAACCCCGGGGGAAGGCAACACTCATGGAGCAGCCCCTCACCCCATGGCCCCACTGAGACCCTTCTGCTGAGCCCTCCTGCCAACCCTTCCCAAGAGCTTCTCCAGCTGATTGGGATGGGAACAGCAGAAGGGATCTCAGATTTGGCTCCTGCACTAGTACGCTCTCACCACTGCTGGTGGGAAACAGCCCAGAATGACCATCATGGCCAGGGGTGCCTCCTCGTACAGCCAGGAAGCCTGACCTTCTGCTTGGTGGGTGAAAAAGCAAGAGACGGGTGTTCATTACCCTAGAAATTACCTGAAAAATGACTGCCTGCGGTTGTACCACGCACTGTCTCATCAGCATGGAGCACCACTGCCATAGCATGGAGGAGAGAAAACACAGACATGTGAAACGAGGTATATATAAAAGAGAGACTGAGAAGGACAAACTGAAAGGAGGGGCAAGACCAGATCTTGTGTGTTCCCCTGCCCTATCCTATTCTGCTCTGGCTCAGCTCTGGCAGACAGGAGCTGGGGGAGTGGCCGCAGGGGCGAGGAAAGGAGTAATCTCTGTGTGCCTAATAGCAGCAGTACAAGTCCTCTTGCAGCAGCAGGGTCTGCACAGTCCCTGCCCATTAGAAGTCTCTGCAAAGTTCAAACGGGAAGTTGCTGCTCTAAGTTTTGAATCTACCTCAATTACAAAAGCCTTATTTCTAACTATTAATCCCTTGGAGTGGTGATTGTGATAGGCAAATGGTAAGAAAAAGGGTGCAGGAGGGTTTCATAACTGTTTTCAAATCTGCTGCACTACAGTAAAGCAGAGAGGCAGATCACAATCAGCTTCACCCTGCACTTTTTCTGGTGAAGATACCTGAGTGTAACACACCAAAAAGCCAACCTACCCTATGTGTACAGAAATTGTCTCTGACATTTACCTGGGATTTTGTCCAGGGAACAAGGCTGCTCCCTGAAAAATCCTGGTTTTTAGGTGCCAATGTGGGAATCTCAGGGAGCTACGAGGCTGGAATGAGACCTGCAGCAGTGCTGTCACCCATAAGGTGTGAGACAAATGTATCCCCTTTTCGCCTCATCCCTTTTGTGGGGCACAGACCTCACAATGCTGCTGAAGGGGCTGTACCAAGCGAAAACAGACAAGAGCTGTCTGCTGCACAGGGCAAATGGCCATTACAATGAGCCAGCTGGGGTCCACTGGGACTTGCACATGTTGCTTTTTGCGTCTGCTACAGATTCCAAATCAGAACACCAGGCAGGCATGAAATAATACCTTCTGCGTTCTCCTGCCACTGGCACAGCTGCCCCCAAGCCCACGGCGCTGGGCAGGATGCAGCAGCAGCAGCAACAGCAGCAGCTCAACAGGAGCTGAGACCTCAGTGCAAGGTGCCAGCTTGGGGCTTCAGGGCTTAGTCTGCCTCCTCACTGATCGTGTGCCCTGCCTTCCTTCCTGACAGAGATGGTGTGTCAAGAGCCTTCATTGCCAAAGAAAACACTGAGGTCCCTGAAAGACAGAGTACTGTCCCCCAAATCACACCCACCACAGCCCCTGGTCATCCCTGACAGCAGCAGCAAGCCAGACCTCACTCAAAATATCTCCAAGTTTTCGCATCTTAGTATTTTAAAATTAATTAATAAATAGAGGCAAAAGTGGCACATGCCAAGCAGGCTGTTCACAGAAACCCACACTGCAGCCTGACAAAGGGAAAAAATTTGTAACGTTAGATATGGTTCAAAGAGTTTAATCCAAAGCAGCTGTAATTAATCTCCCCAGACTTTCAGAAACCCAGCAGCGCTTGCAGCTGCAGGCACCACTGCTGTTCTGCCTGGAATTTCATGGGAATGGAAAATCCAGCCTGATGCCCTCCTACTCAGCCACCCAAGACATGGGTGGGAAGGCTCCTGGAAACCTATACATCAAAGTCTCACCACTGCTGCCTGCCAACCACTACCCCATTTAATAATTTACATGATATTCCCTGCACCGGGCACTGCTGACACCAAACCAAATCCTACTTTGGAATAAATGTTATTTACACACCTAACTGGGACTGAACCCTTTTCTTGTTTTCAGCCACATTGAGCTCATGCTGTCTCACAGAACGTGGAAGTTTGGTTTCAGTGGTACAACCTTTTCCCCTAAGTTTAAACTGAACCTCCCCTTCACAATACATATATGTTTATAAAAAGTTAACAGCTGTGCTTCATTTTAGTTCAAATCCAATTAGGATTGTACACATCCCCAGACATTCCTTTGAAGGCAGTGAGAATTAGCTTGTGCACCCTGCCATGAACACATTTACCCTCATACTTCAAAATAACTGACCTGTTTTTGACCCAATCTTCACATTATCTGCATAAGGGAAATGATATACAACATTTTACATTTCCACAGTACAATTCATAAGTGGGTGCAGATATTCTCAGATTTTCCAAAGGGACACCCAAATCCAATCTAAATGCCAAGAATTTACCTGTTGTTTTTCTTTTATACATATAAATAGCTGCATTTCCATTCACTCTTTGTTTCTCATTTTCATTTTGTTCTAATATCTGCATGTAAATGTCTGAAAATAGCATCTGTAATTGAAGATTATGAAGTATAGCCAGCTCCTGACAGGCTGCTAAGGAAGATGGATTATCCTCATTTTTCTGTAAATTTTGTCAATTTTGGAATTCATAAGCTATCAACACTGATCAAAATGTGACTGCACAGCTGTGTCAAAGCGGACAGCGCAGCACCGGTGCAGCTCCGAGGACAGCTCTCCCCAGCCACTCGGCCAGGGGCACACACTGCAGGAATCCTTCCCGGCTGTCTGCAGTATCTACATCCCAATCACACTGCCCCCTCCACCCCTGCAAAAAAAAAAAAAAAAAAAAAAAAAAAAAAAAAAAAAAGAAATTTAAAAAAACAAAAATTCTATCAAATAAATAAGTAAATTGAAAGTACGCAAATTCTCTGGTGCGCCAATTCAGATCACAAAGCACAATTTATTGCATGTTCTCTCTTTTTATTTATCCCTAAGTAGTAAACACGATTTCCATTCAGGGGGTTCGTTATGTTCCACTCCTACCAGACAATCACAGCACACTTGAGGCAATTGTTTAGCCTCTTCCTCTCAATTTTCCCATTACTGGGAGTAAGTACTGTTGGGACTCTTTAATAGCCCGACTGCAGCCCATATCAATAACAGATGAGGTTTAATCGTCCAACACAAAAATTATTTAGGCTCAGTAAGGACATTCAATGTCATTTGCATAATGGCATTTCTATCCTGAGCACCTAACCCATCGTGCATAAACAAGACCCTGGGACCATAAATAATAATAAATCATGACGTCCATGCTCCTCTTGCTATAATAGGAGCCTCTCTATGTAGAAATTATTTCAGCAGGAAACGGGCACTATAATTTTAAAGACATGTGGCACTGCACAGGCCAGTAAATCACACCCGTGCGCAGTCACGCACATACACGTGCCAGTGAGTCTGCCCATAGTGAACAGCAAAACCCCATGGAGCAGCAGCACAGAACACTGCCCATGCTGGCTGCTGGATATGTTTTTAATATTGTTTCTTAGTCAGAGGTAGCAGGCTGAACAAAAGCAATGCCTGAGTAGTGTGTGCAGTGCCTGGGCATGTGCTTGATGGACCTGTCAGTCTGCCAAATCCCTGCTGGGAAATCCCTCATGCCTGCTGTCCTTGGATCTCTGGAAAAGTCTGATGGGAAGAGAGCAGAGACCTACAGATGCTTAGATGGTGTTTTCCAAGCAAGCCCTCCATGGGCCATTACAGTCCCCAATGCCCAGCAAGCATTGATGCTCCTCATGATTCAGAATCATGAATCATTGAGGATGAAAAGCCCTCTAAGATCATTGAGTCCAACAGTTAACTCAACACTGCCAAGGCTGCCATTAAATTATGTCCTCAAGAGCCATAAACTTACTTGGTTTCCAAAATGAAGCCTGCACTGAAAACTATGCAAGGCCAGCCCAAGAGTGGTAAGTGTACGCAATGAGCTGAGGTGGCTTTCCAGATTTCAGCCTCACCTGGCCACTAACGAGTGCCTGGACAAACAGAAACATCAACACTACCACAGTGGCAAAGCCGACTTCTGTTTCGCCAGGATTTACTAGTTTCAACATCACATATTTATCCTCAACAACTCGAGCACCTCTCTATATAACATAAACTGTTGTGCTCCTGCAGGACACAAAACAATAGGAATGCTCGCCCAAGCCTCCACCCACCCTCATCAGCACAGGTTCTTCCTTTCTGTCTCCATGACAGAACCTCCCAGTTCAGTTTATTGAGAAAAGTAGGAACTCCAAAACAGATTTTCCAGAAGCCTACTCCCAGTTTCAGTGTTGCAACACCAGTGCCTGCAACTGCCCCAACCCCCTCCAATTTCTTCTCTCCAGTCCTCCTCTCTCCAGCCTTCCTCCTCATCCCATGGCAGCCCTCTCCTGCTTTCCCCACAGATTTATATGGGGCATTTCTCTTCTACCGCCATTTCCTGCCCCCTCCCCAGCACCTGTTCTCAGCACAGCACCAATTGAATTTTCTCAGCAGCCTCCACCATCCTATATGCAATGCTAAAAAGGAAGCACCTAATCAAAGTAAAGCACAAGACATGCAATGAAATCAGCGTAGCACAACCCACCCTGGTGGAAAAGCAGTTTACTTTTTGTAAACCCAGCACAAAATTTAGGCTTTTATGCCTCTAATTGCTACAAGATATTGTTTAAAAATGCTGTTTCTCAGGACAGAAACTGGACACTTTCCTTCTCAACACTAACATTTCCAGGCAGAGGAGGAGGGAAAAGGTACAATCCTTGATCATGGTGGCCCCTCTGGTTCCACTGAAGCACTAAGCATGACTGTGCAGAAAAGAAAACACAACCTTCAGCACAGTCAATTATTTCTTTATGGAGAAATATGAATCAGAAATGTGAATGCACACTGAGAATGCATGAGGCTGGCACCAATATTGCCAGATCTTCAATCCATCCCACCAATGGCTCTTGACACTTGAGAAGTCTTATGCAAATTTTCAAGAACAGTTGGTATTTGTGTCATGCTTTCACATGAACTACCCAAACGTGTTTCACAAATGCCATCTGAGAATCCTGTCGTAGCATTTTTTGTATCCTATTAAGCATTGTGTATAATAAACTGGTCTCAAAGTGGTGATTACCAAAGCGGCAGATTGGTGGGGTCCAAGCCTCGCAGGTAGCCAAAGCCCCTGCAGTCACTGCACCTACAAAGGCACCAAACCTTTACACAGGGGAAAGCTAACAGAGAAAGCCACGGAGTTTGCTGTTTTGTGGCATGTCACAAAGTCTAAGCTCAACAAATCCAC